CCCCGCCCGGCCCCGCCGCAGCGCCGCCTGCCGGGCCGGTCTGTCACCCGCCGCGCAAGCTCAGAATTGGGCCTTTTACCTGGATAAGTCTCCTCCCTTCCAGGTCAAAAAGTAAGTGCAGCATCAGCTTTATTATCTTTCTTTGCCTTATTGTTCTCGAGCACTAATCATCTGAGATGCCATTTAATTGATTTATCTTGTTAACTTCTACGTCTTCCAACGAAAATGTAAGCTCCGCGAGGACAGGATTTGTGGTTTATACACCTGTGTTTCCCCAGTTCCTCAGACCTATTCGCTGAGTGAATGATGTAATTATGAAACAGAGAAAATACAGGATGAGGCGAAAAGAAAGAAAAAGTGTTTTACCACTCCCCCCCACACACACAAACTCCTTTTAACTGAGAGAGATTTCTCCCCCACGCCCCACAGTCCCTATCTTCAATTGTGCATCTTGGTGGGTTTTTCAAATCGTAATATCATCATATAAATATTTTCCTCTGGTAGTATCTTGTCTTTTAAATTGTAATTTTAGTGACAGCCTGCTAAACACCGCACAGATAGAACGTACACAATAACTAGATTGTTTTCCTTTTTTCTGTTAAAAGTGATACTGTAATAAACTTTATGGGCAAAGCGTGTCCTCATTGAGGATTATAAATATAATTGTGTACAAATACAATGCAAAGGAAAGCCCTCCCCAAATTTTATTTTCATGGCCATTTAACTTATATATGCATAAAAGCTTGGCCTAGCCTTGCTTATTTCTTCCCAGTTCTGTATTTTATGAGGCACTGGTGCTTTGGGCAGTAAGATTGGATGTTGATGGAGTTGTGAGCTGTCCTAGCTCTAGAGAATGTCATTGTTATTATTATTATTATTTCTCCCAGACGGGATATTTAGGTTCTTCAGACCTATTTATAAACCACTGATTCCTTCACACTGCCTAGCGCCTTCACACTGGCACAGCAGTGTCTGTCGATTGACTTTTTTACTACACTGATCAGCATCTACTCCTTAACCTTCCCCGAGCACTTCCAGCGAATGTGTGAGTTGTTTCCATTTCAGACTCCGCAGCTCTGCTTTACCAGGCCTCTTACATTCAGCTGTCAAATAGTATTGATAATACTATTGCTCCATTGAGTTTACCATTATAATGGCCACTGCGATTTATAATACTTATATGGTATACTACGGTACATAGGGTGCCCACATATGCTTATACCCTGGTACACAGTGGCTCACACTTAACATATATGTCTGCTAGAATTAAATGTTTTAGAAAGTTCAATGTAATGTTCTTTCTCATCTATCTGTATTGATGCACAGGTTTTAACATAGCTAAAAGTTGTAGACTAGATTGATTAGGTTTATGGTTGAAAACATTGCACAGGCATGTCGCCCTGACACCACGTACATCGGTTTTATGTCCGCCAGAGGAGGTCAGTTGGTTCTTAATCACTTTTTGTGCCTCGTTTCTTGGACCTCATTGGTAGTCTGTGAAGCCTTTGCAGTCCTTCCCAGAATAATACTTAAATGACATAGGATTACACTTAAAACAGTTTAACTGGAACGCAGATCTGTGCACGGGCCTCAGCTGAAAGCCCGGACGCTTTATGAGTACAGTTCACCCTGGAACAACACGTGAGGCCACTTATATGCGGGTGTTTTCCATAAATACAGTCGGTCCTTCCACCCACGGGGTTCGCATCTGCAGATTCAACCAGCCGAAGAGGGACAACAGCGGTTTCGCGTTCCCGACCGCGCGCTTGGTTGAATCCAGTCCAGGCGCCGAGTGTGGCTTCGGGGGAGTAGTACCCGCGGATCTCCCACGGTGGGGGTGGCCCCGCTGACCCGCCTCGTGGCTCAAGAGTCGCAAAGGCCACCGATTGAAATTCATTTCTTCACAGTTCTGGAGGCTGGAAGCCCAAGACTAAGGTGGCAGCAAATTTGGTTTCTGGCGAGGCCTCTCCTTCGGGCTAGGGGAGAGCCACTTCGGTGCTCACGCGGCCTGTCCTCCGCGCGGGCGTGGCGGCGGCGCCCCCTGGTGTCTCTGCCTGGAGGGACACTAACCCTGTCCGGTCAGGATTTAAGACGCATTTAACCATTCTTACTGTGTCTCCAAATACACTCCGCAGTGAGAGGAGAAGTGTTGTTTAGGATTAGGACGGTCTGCGGAGAACCAGTGCGGTTGACCATTCCGCTAAGAGAGAAGGCTCTGGGGCGGAGCCGGACCGCTGATTAGCATCTCCTGATGCGAAGAGGCAGCCACCTGTGGGCGCAGCCCCTTAGGTCCCTCAGAGTGTTCCTGTGTCTTCAGGGGACTCTCAGAAGCAGCTCTTCACATTCTGCCTCTTTCCACTCTAGGGACCTGCGAGCGAAGACCCCCTTGGTCCTATGACGGTGGACGAGCTTCTCCAAGGTGCTGAAAATATTTGGGGACCATGCTGGAGGTCCAGCATTGGGGGAATCCTTGGCACCCGGGGCTGGTGGGGATTCGAAACTGACCCGCTGTCACTGGAGTTGCTAATGAGAGCGAGAGAGACCATGCTGGATGGAGACGAGGCTACCCCCCCTCCCCCCCTGCGAAGGAGGGAAAGCCACACACAGGTGCTCATCCAGAAACAGTTGCTGTCACTGCCGTCTGGAAACGCCTGATTGCAGAGAAAGAACTTGACAAGTGAATTTTAGGAGATTTGGCTGGGACTCACAGTTTGAAACTCAGGAGCTGATTCACTACCTGGGGTCACAGCTGCGACTGTACCAAACAGAGCATCCTGCCACCTGCTGAGGTCTCTGTCCGCTCCACCTGGACAGCAACAGCAGGCCTGCGGGGGCGGGGCTAGGGCTTCCCAAGGTAAGGAGCTCAGTCTGGCATATCTTCTGTTTGCTGCTCTTGCAAGGACATCTTTTTCTGTCTGTCCCCGTTCCCCTTGCCATGTTAATTTGTTTCGTGGGTCCCCTGGAATGCAGCGGAGGCAGAAGAGTGGAGCGTTAAAATGCCAAGTTCCGCGGCTGGTCTGCCTGCTGTTTGAATCCCAGCATTTCCTGTTCCGGCTCGTGACCCTGGCGAGTTCCTTAATCCCTCTGCCTCAGTTTCCACGTTGGCAGGGTGGACATAAGAGTACCACCTTAGGGTCGTTGTGAGAATGATATCGGAGACAGTGCGTGGAAGCCCTTGGCACAGTGTGGGCCCATGAAGGTCAGTGTGATTGCTGTTAGGACTATGGCAGTCTCGTCTACAGCTCTACGGTCTTATTCTACCCGTTTGTCCACAGATTTTCTTAGGTATTCTATGTGGATAATCCTATTGTCTGAGGGTAGGGGAGACGGTCTCTTTTCAGTCCTTAGGCCCCTTATTTCATTTTCTCATCGTTCTTTTCTGTTTTATATAGGCTGGACTTGCACTATCTGACAGAACTTTCTAAAATGGTGGCAATGTTCTATAGCTCGGTCGTCGATTAGGATAGACAGGTATGGCTGTTTAGCACTTGAAATATGGCTGGTGAGACTCGAACTGAATTTGGAATTAAATTTAAATTTGAAAATATGACCTGTGGCTAGTGGCAAACAGAACTGCTCAAGGCCAGACCCTCCAGTGCAGTGTGGGGCACCTTTGCCTTGCCCTTAACTTTCACGGCATTGCTCACGGTTCACCAGTAGGTACGACGTTTGCTGTATCCTTGGAAAGATATCCTTTGCTCCTTGTTTGCTGAAACTTTTACTACAAGTTGTCATCAGATGCTTCACTTTTTTGGTGTGGTAGATTACACTGGTAGATTTTTTTCCTGATGTTAAACCACTCTTGTATTTCTGAGATAAATCCTCCTTGATTGTGATGCATTTTTTTAAATATGCTGCTGCATTTGGTTTGATAATATTGCATTTAGGAATTTTGCATTTATGGTCATAAGTAGTATTAATCTAAAACTTTTGAGTACTGTCCTTGTCGGAGTGTAGACACTGCGTATGGGGAGCTGTTTCTATTCTCTGAAACAGTGTTTAAAAGTGGGGGGCGGGGGGCTTCTCTATCCTGACAGAGAAGAGGACATGTTTTTTAAAACTTTCAATTCAATTCCCTGGTTATTTGGGTGTCTTATTTTTTTTCTTGAGTTATTTTTATTGTTGTGTGTGTGTGTGTGTGAGTGTGTGTGTGTGTGTTTGGAAGTATACTTTTTTATTTCCTGTAAGTTTTCAAAGGAGCTCCGTGTTGACACGTGCTTATTTTGCTAGGGTTGGGGTGGGCTCTTGTAGGTGAGTGGGTGTCCCCAGGATTTAAGGTCACCATTCTTCATAGCCTATCTGTGGACACAAGACACAGTGTTACTATTTTCCTGACACCTCAAAGGATGCCGCCCTCCACTGCTGGCCTGATCTGCAGCGACTTTATTCCGAAGAAAACTCTGGAGGGTCATGTGATGAAGGAAAGGCTGGATTGTGGATTCTCTAATTTGGGGTC